TTCTTTTGTCTCCCATCATTATCTTCTTTCAAGTTCTTCTCCAGCATTTCTTCTAAAATGTATGTTTTTTTCACTTAATATATTCTTTTCAATTTTACACTGTACTCTGATTCATATAATCTGGAGATACATTCCCATACAACTTGCCTCACAGAGACAGGAAATATTTTATTCTAGTGATACTCAGGCAGTTCCATCTCATTTTCTTTTTTCTTTTTAAAAGTATATTTTATTGATTATGCTATTACAGTTCTCCCATTTCCCCCATTCACTTCCCTCCACCCTGCATACCCTTTCTCACCCACATTCCCCCTCTTTAGTTCATGTCCATGTGTCATGCTTATAAGTTCTTTAGCTTCTACATTTCCCATACTATTCTTGCCCTCCCCCCTGTCTATTTTCTAACTACCATCTATGCTGCTTATTCTCTGTACCTTTTCCCCCTCTCTCCTCCTCCCACTCCCCTGTTGCTAACCCTCCATGTGATTTCCATTTCTGTGGTTCTGTTCCTATTCTAGTTGTTTGCTTAGTTTTTGTTTTTGTTTTAGGTATGGTTGTTAATAATTGTGAATTAGCTGTCCTTGTACTGTACATGTTTTCTATCTTCTTTTTCTCAGATAAGTTCCCTTAACATTTCATGCAGTAAGGGCTTGGTGTTGATGAACTCCTTTAATTTGACCTTATCTGGGAAGCACTTTATTTGCCCTTCCATTCTAAATGAAAGCTTTGCTGGATAGAGCAATCTTGGATGTAGGTCCTTGCCTTTCATGACTTGGAATACTTCTTTCCAGCCCCTTCTTGCCTGTAAGGTCTCTTTTGAGAAATCAGCTGACAGTCTGATGGGAACTCCTTTGTAGGTGACTGTCCCCTTATCTCTTGCTGCTTCTAGAATTCTCTCCTTCATTTTCATCTTGGCTAATGTAATGATGATGTGCCTTAGTGTGTTTCTTCTTGGGTCCAACTTCTTTGGGACTCTCTGAGTTTCCTGGATTTCCTGGAAGTCTGTTCCCTTTGCCAGATTGAGGAAGTTCTCCTTTATATTTGTTCAAATAAGTTTTCCACTTGTTGCTCTTCCTCTTCCCCTTCTGGTACCCCTATAATTTGGATGTTGGAACATTTAAAGATGTTCTGAAGGTTCCTAAGCCTCTCCTCATTTATTTGAATTCTTGTTTCTTCATCCTTTTCTGTTTGGTCATTTTTTTCTTCCTTTTGGTCCACTACATTGATTTGAGTCCCAGTTTCTTTACCATCACTATAGGTTTTCCTTTATTTCACATAGTGTAGCCTTCATTTTTTCATCTAATTTGCAACCAAATTCAACCAATGCTGTGAGCATCCTGATCACCAGTGCTTTGAACTGTGCATCTGATAGATTGGCTGTATCTTCGTTGCTTAGTTATACTTGTTCTGGAGCTTTGATCTGTTCTTTCATTTGGGCCATCTTTTTTTTTTTTTTGTCTTGATGCACCTGTTATGTAGTGAGGGGCAGAGCCTTAGGTGTTCACCAGGGCAGGGTAACACACCTTGCTGCATTGCGATACTATATGTGGGGCAGGGGTCAGAAAGGGAGCAATGGCGTTTGCTCCACTCTCTGTCATATTTCAGTCACTTCCCCTGCTTCCCCCAAGAAAACTGGGCTCTTCTGGTGCTGATTCCCACGTGGGTGGGCTTGTGTACATTCTAAGACCCTGTGGGTCTCTCCAACAAACTTTACTGTGAGGCTGGGAGTGTCTCCAGGTACCTCAACCCCCACAGGTGTTTTCAGTTAGTGTTTTGAGGCTTTATTTCCTGGCACTGGGACCCTGGGTTGTGTGGTCTGTCTCACTCTCCAGTTTTGCCTGGTTTATCTGCACAGGAATGTGGGACCACCCGATGCACCAGCTGCCTTGCGTGCCACGCCCCTCTATAATCCGCTGCCTCACTGAGTCCACCTGCTGCTGCCTTGCTCACCCTGGTCTGCCAGCCACTGCTTTTTTTGCTGTGACCCCTCTCAGCCCAGCCTCCCCGCTCCACCCCCCTACCAGTCTGGATGAATGTGTCTGTTTTAACTCCTTGGTTGTCAGACTTCTGTACAGTTCAATTTTCTGTCGGCACTGGTTGTTTTTTTTTTGTTTCTAAATTGTTTTTGTCCTTCTTTTCCTTGTGTGAGGAGGCACAGTGTGTCTACCTATGCCTTCATCTTGGCCAGCAGTCTCCCATCTAATTTTCATACCATAGTACCCAAGTAACAAAGAAGGGCTAGCATGAAATTAGGAAATGGGCAAATGATTAAATGACTAAAGCGTCTGATTTATTAATAAAGATCAAGGGAAACAAAATCTCTCTCAACATAAGCAAGAACTGAGGAAGGGGGTCTGTGGTAGCTGGCCACAATACCAGGCAAATGAGCCTTAGGCAGAGATAGCGTGAGTGCCACGCAACACAGATCATGCGGGGGTAATGATGTGAAATTAAGAAAATTCATGATAATGATCATTTAAAAAAATCTGAAATTGAGAGTATGTGCTACATGGGCAACAAAACTTCTGAGTCAAGGTATCTTAATGATTGCTCGGCTGTGCTTGAAATAAACATTTCCCAATCTCCCTTAGGCTAGCATTTCAACTTTTATCTGCAGAAAGTTCTTTCTGAAATCTCCCTCAAGTCTCATATGCTGCATCTTAAACAGATCACTTCTACTCTGCTGTTATTGGAAATAGTACTTTATCACATATCCATCCCTCACAAAGGACTAGCACATGCAGACATGTCCCCGTAGCTGTGAACCATGGCAAACCAGTACTTGCTTTACCCTGTAAATATCTGCCTTGGCTTCTCTTTCTACAAGAATTATGCCACAGTTTCCTCTGTGTTCCTTCTTTCTGGTGGTGTTAAAAACCTCGTCCGACTTCTGCCCACCTGATTGGTGCTAATGATTAAGTGGTCAATTTGGGGGCTTCCCAAGAAAGTGCCAGGCATCTTTTGGAAAGTTGCTTATCCTGCATGAGCCTGTTTTCTCACCTGTAAAATAAATAACATGAATACAAATTTGAGTATTTAGTAATAATTAGTAGAAATAATATATGTAAATCACAGTGAATTGTAGTGGACCTACAGCATAGGCTCAGTAGGGGTAACTTTTTGTTGTTACAAATTGTATTTATTGGTGTATAATTCTTAACTCACTAGATATATATTCTCTAAAGTGCCTAGTGTGTAGCAGATGCTCAGTTAATGAATCAATAAATGAATAAACTAACCAGTGCTAATTATTACAAATTACAGAAAACACATGTAAAGGAGCACTGTTGTCTAGAAAAGGCTGCCAGTAGATCAGCCGTGATGTCAGTACCCAGACACGTTGGGTAGGGCTGGTGTCGCCCTGTCCCAAATTCCAGAGGTAGGTGGGCACGGCAGTCCCTCTGAGACTAGACTGAGTGTATATAGGCTCTCCCTCGAAAACGCAATGTACTCGTTATTTGAATAAGGAGCTGACCAGAGTCCTCGGGAAGAAATAAAAATTCACAAAACAGTGCAAAGAGCAAAAAGGAGACAACATTTTTCATGTCGGGTGCTAGCACCTCTAAGAATTAAAGATGAAATGGAATGGGACTAATTGCATGAAGGAGTTTCTTTGTTTGACAGTGATCATTATTTGGAATCACCTCTGCCCCAAATCTGTCTTCCTAGATTTGAGGAAAAGAAAGACATTTGGACAGAAATACATTTTTTCCCTTTTTTACTGCACAGTTTACTGCTTTGGGTTTGATAAACTGCCTAAACTACCTGGCTGACTGGGAGAGAAGGTGATGTTTTTACACTTATATTAAACAAAAACCAGGTGCTTTAATAATAAATATCATGTCTGGTGGTAAAAAAATAATAATAAAATAAAATAGAGGAAAAACTGCATTGGTCCCTGATTTTATCATAACCTTAAAATAACAGAAGTTTTCACATATTCAGAAAGAGTTTATTATACATGATGTATCAGCAAATTTACAGTAAATAGGAAATTAATTCCTAAAGAAGAACCAACTGCCTAAATATTAAAGCATTTGTCTATGGGCTTTCCTAGATGCAGATGATAACAGTGCAGTAATGATGGCAGCTACCATGTGATGATGATGATGATGATGATGATGATGATGATGATGATGTTGTGTGTGAGAGAGAGAGAGAGAGATTTGTGTTCATGACGACCATTATGAGTTAGATTCAGTTTCATTTTACTGGAGAGAAACTGAAGCTCCAGCAGGAAATGTTTTACCCAGGGTTGTGCGCAGGTAACCTCCTGTTACCCAAGTGCTTTTACTGACAGTGGCTGCCCCATTCTTAACAGCAGCAGAGGTTTGGGGCCTCTTTGGAGACAGGGATGTGTGCACAGAAATCTAACAGGGACCATCGATCAGCCTGTACAAGGAACCAGATCATTTGTCCAGGCGGTCCTTCTGCCCACGCCTGCAGTTAGACTCGACCACATCCAGGCTTCAGGACTCGGCCCTCACGCTAGTCCGTCCTCTTCCACCTGCAGCTGTCCCTTCCCACTCACACCAGAAGCTTCCTAGTGAGGTTCAGGAGGAGTAAGCTGAATCCAGATACTGTGTTTCTGGATACAGAATGTTAAGAAACAAAAGCATAATATTCTCTGATACTGGTAAATATTTTAGTTACCCATAATATTTGTGATATAAATAGTCAAATCAGTGCATAAATATTGGAGGAAATATTAGTCATGTTTATATAATATTTTCATGGCTCCATTGGAAGCACATCTTTATATTCTTAGGTTTTAAGTTTCTAACATTGTAAAAACTATATATTCTGATGACTGCTGACCAGTGTCTAGAACCTGAAATTTTTCTCAAAGGGCAATATAAAAAGAAACGTATTTGAGTGTGTTCATCCAAAGAAGAATGTATACTCAGTTTAGAATACTGGGTGTATGTCTGTTCCAGTGACAGTGGATTACTGATTTATCACTATAAACTGACGACTATGTTCTCTTTATTACAAACCAGTGCTTTTGGCTGCCCGTATTCTGACATGAACTTGAAAAAGGAGGCAATGCTCCATGATCATCTGAGAGAACAAACACAGGAATATTTGGAATCAGACTCTTCACGTTTAAAATTGAAAAGTCTCTGTAGTTTGAACTTCATTGGAAAACATGAACAGGCAAAGAGTCAGCCCAGGTAAGGAACTTTCAAAAAATGTGAACCAGAAAGTAAACCATGCAGAATAGTTAAAGAATAAATTTGTTAATACTAATGATTTGCTATATTTTTAAAAATTGCTTTTGTTTCTAGGTATTATGTTCACTGGCTCATAGAATTCATTTAAGCCTCGATCATCATTTAAAAAATGTTTCTATTCAACAAAAATTTGAATTTTTCTTTTTGTAAATGTATACATTATATGTAAGCAGTAGAAAGCATATCTCATTTAGAAAATTCTGTAAGATTCCTTTTTAACTTAACAACTTCTTTATTCTTTGGAATTATTTCATAGAAATGATTCTTATGGAACATGGCTGAGTACTTGTATCCAGTCATATCAGGATTTCCTCTCTTACCTGTTAACTTGTCTTGTCATCTTTAATCCAAATGTACCTCAGATACAATTCCTTCTTACTCTGAATAATTTTATTTTGATTTTTTTTGTAATACATCATTCTTTTGTTTCTAAATGTAAATTTACATTTTAAGAATCAGGTTCCAATTTTTATTTACATAAAATCATTTTCCAAAGAGCTACAAATGCAACCTTATTTGGTATTTTTTAACCTAAATGAGTAAACATTCTATATAACATCTTTTCTGTTAAAGAGCTCAATTATCTATGCTGTGAATAATAAACACAGAAAAATCTAACATTAAATAACTGGAGACTGGACAGAGATGGAGCCAAGAAAGACTAGGCAGAGAAGCAAGATGTGGATGTCATTGTGACTGTCCACAGGCAGGAGGCCTTCCTGTTCAGGCCCTTGAAAGACATAGACCCTTTCTCTGCTGGTGCTGACAGAGCTGCTGCTTGAGGGCTGCTGTTCCTCCTAAGCCTCCAAAGCCCATTTGCCAGGTGTAAGAGGGGGGACTTGCGTGCCTCTCTCTGGGAGCAGGGATTGCACTGGAACAACTTTCTGACCATTTATACCTTTCAGTCCCAGGAAGGGTGCTCCTTTCTTTTCAAGGGGAGATCTGTTCATTGGGAGGACGCACTTTCATGTCCCAGACTGTAGATTTTGTTCTTTTCTCATGCAAACGTTGTCATATAGCATTTGGGTGACATTTCATTTTTGTTAAGTAGCTTATTTTTACTTTGATCCTTGTGCACACAACTGTGCAGATTAGCTCTCCTCCGTGTGTGATCTATTTCCTATGGATATGCATGCCTCTATTTCTGTAGCTGTATCTGGCATGTTTATTATTTATTTATACACCCACTCCTCTTGTTGAAAATTCACAGGGTCTAGTTGTTCTTTACTGTGCTTTACACCCACACTGCTTACAACTCTAAATAGTTGAGGAGCTTGAACATCTTCTCCATTTCCTAGTTGAGGGAGATTTTTTCCTTTTTAAAACCATTCTCCAAGGAACCATGTTCATTTATTTTCATACATCCATTTACCCTTATTCTTGCTGTTCTATTCTGTTATCTTTTTAAAATAAAAACTCAGTCAATCTCTCTTGTAAATATTTTAGGCATTCATCCTCAGTGCCAAAAGTGATAGACACTAAGCAGATCTTTGAACTGCTCTAAACAATGATTACACTGTTGTATTCTCTTAGAGGTCAGCCAAACCTTTCTTTTCAGCACAGATATATGGCTTCCCCTGTCTTGAACTTCTTTTAGGAATTTGCTCCTTTTGATATAATAGTATTGGCCTTATTATTTTAAAGGAGCTTTACACCAAAATATACCAAATAGGTATGATTACTACAGATAGAAAGAAAAAGCTGAGAAGGTTCGTTGAAATTGACCAAAAAGTCACTCTTGATCCTATTCAATCAAATCCTATTCTTGCAATGCACAGAACTGTGCAAGTAGTTGGACGGGGGCTGGGGGGAGTCACAATGCACATCTTGAATTCTTAAACCTTCTTTTGCTTTCAAATATTAAGACCAAAGCCATCATTGCACACCAGTCCACTTTTATTTTTGATCAATCATCGTAACAATGTTGGATAAATAGTATGCAGTAGTGCCCACTTTGACTCTACCCTCATCTCCATGACATCCTACTCATGGTCTAGAATTCCATCTGGAGGTAAAAAGAGAACAAGGACACCAACAAGGAACATGTGGTCTAACTATGAGAACATAAGTATACCCCAATAGAGGGTATATTTTTACCCTCTTCAGAGTTTACTTATAGTAATTTCCTGAGGCTGCCTTTCATTTAATCCAAATCTTTACTCTTAAAATCACAAGATACCAGATACAGGTGGAAGAGAATATTTAAATTTCATCTGTTCTACATGATAAGATATAATTTTTATGTGGTTCATGTGCAATCACATGAATCACTAATAAACTTTGGGGCTAAATTAGTGAAAATTTGAGTTATCATTTCCACTGGCTTGCAATCCATCCATTCACCACTGAGCTATGGACAGGCGTTCTGTAATTTCTTATATAAGCAAAACCTGTCACCTTAGAATCCCAGACTTCTTGCAATTCATGTGCAAAATGTAAAATTAACTACTGACATTCTTCCAAAATCAGTTAGATGCTGCCCAACAGTTTAAGGGATTTTTTCTTTTCCTTAACTGTATCCTGGTTTTGTGTTTACTTTTAAAAAGTACATTTGTTCTCATGTTAATCTTTGAAGTGAGAATTATTAGTAAACATTTAGACTCCATTATTTTGTAGCAGAAGTAGCCTATTTATATTCACATTTTATTAGCAGAGGGTCAAGTTTTAAACTTGAGTGAATTATATACTACTAACTATGTTTATAAAATTAACCTTCACTGCAGTAAGATAACATATTAATAAAACTTTGAAGAATCAGATTTGTAATAGGTCACCATTGCTGAAAAACCATATAGATATTTCTTTTCCCTTGTACTAAGAGTACTATTATATTCATAGTGCATTAAATAGAGGCATATGACCTTACACGTGAACGTCTTTCATTTGGGAAAGTACTCTAAAAAGGGGAAAAAGCCTTTAATTTGTTTAACAGTTTATAGTTTGCACATACATTGCCTTTAGAGCTCCCATAACCTATGATTCAGGCAAAGCAGAAGTTATTGTCATCATAGCATTGCTATTTATAGGTGAGAGAGTAGAGATCCTTACTAGTAGCTGATCTGAGACCCAAACAAAGTCTTTTGATTAAATTCAGAGTATTCCCAGTTCAGTAATCAAATAATAGTAACACCAAAAATATCAACAATAATAATTGACTATTAATATCATACACTTTGAGCTACAAAGTGGTGTGCTAAACAATTTCATACAACATCCTGTAAATTTTATTTTATTGTCAACAACCACCTTGTGTGTGGTTAAGTATTCTAAGTCTGATTTTATAAAGTAGGCATCTTAACATAAGATAGGTTAGGTAAAGTGCCCAAGGTCACACAGATAAACAGCTGAAAAATTGGGATTATAATCCAGAACTGCCTGACTCCAAATCTTTCAACTACATTATGCTACAAAAAGAATGACAGTTTAAGACTTTGAAATTGCCCGACAGGGTTGTGTGTAGACTACTTCCTACTTCTGCCTAGGATTCTCAGGGCCATCTTGTAATGCATTTATTTCTTATTTTTTGAAAAGAGAACTATTGAAGGGGAAGAATCTTAACTATGTTTTCCCCAAAGTGTTTACCCTTCTTTATACTATTTATATAAAACACAAAATCTTTCACCTTGAACACATTTCACTGTAATACACTAAAGGCTTCTATCTGCAACAAGGGAATAAAATTATACTCATGTAACAGTTTTATCATAAAAAATCTCTTTGACTACAACCTCTCCCATCTGCCCCTATTATTGAATTTTTGTTAGCTGGCTTCTCCAGACCAGAGTGGAATGTTTTTCTCTGGCATTTTCAACTCACCTCTATATTCTTTAATAACGTCTTTTACCTCCCCAAAGCAATGTTTAATATATTCTAAGTCACACAGTTGGCAGAACTACCATTAGTTCAAATACCTGTCATTTTCAATCATTACTATTAAGAAAACCTAAGAAAATTCCTAATAAAGCTCACTTTGTTCTTCCTAATGCCTGCCATAATATAAATTGCGTGCACTCCCCCAAAGCCCATATGGACGATGAAAATGGCTGGGGAAAGTCATGGCAATCAGAGAAGAGAATGGCATGTAGTGGAATAGTTCCTTAATGATCCTTATAATAAATTGCACTGCCTGCGCCAACTAGTTTATTTTCAGTGCTCAAATTAACTGCAACATAAATATCTTCTGTGAGGTCCCATCTCAGAATTAAAATAGCGTTGGTTGGTTGTTCCACATTTTAACTTTCCAAGTTATTAAGTAGATTTTCTTTAATCCACCAGCCTTTTCTCTCACTCTCTGCCACATAAACTCTCTGTTTTGGGAGATAAAGTCTACCCATTGTCCCACTCACCCCTGTCATTATCCTCAACATTGTTTTGATTCCTGCACCAGTGCCTTTGTTTCCATCCTTCTACCTCATTTATTCCTGCCTGCACGTTCTCCCTGCTCCCGGGCTCATCTCTGTCCTGAGGTTTTCTATAGCAGTTCCAACGTGTATGAGCTTCCTGACATTAGAGATGATGTTTACACGACTCTATTTCTAATGCCTGCTATAATGCCAGACACTTAGTAGGCACTCAGCAAATTAAGTAGATTTTGAGCAATCACTATGTACCAGGGACTGTGCTAGGCCCTGGGGTATGGTTCAAATAAGATAATCTCATTCCTTGTTCCTAGTATTCCTTTGTGCCCTTGGTCTGGTACCACACAAAGTGGCCTATGTTTGTGTGTCTGCATGTGCCTTTTTAATACTTGTTTTGTGGGTGCCTTATTTTCTCAAAAAGATTGGAGGCTGCTGAAGGGTAAGAACCAGTTTTCATTATGCTTTTGTTTTTTTTCACTACTTTTTCCATTGTAGGTCTTAGTAAATCTAAGTTGACTGGTTCAGATGCATACATTAGTTTTCCTCTTAGAATCTTAATCTCTTCACCTGTAAAGAGAAGAT